CTCTAACTATTGGCATTCTCCAGGGCTCTGTCCTCAGATCTCTTCTCTGCAGTGTCTGCACTCACTACGTAGTGATCTCACCTAGTCTCTTGGTGTCAAATACTATTTAGATGCTTGTGATTCCCAAGTGTGTTACTGCAGCACGGACCTGTCCCCTGAATCCCAGAATCAAACATCCAACTGCCTCCTTGGCAGCAACATTTGAATTCAAAGCAAGCATTTCAAGCTTAGCTTACCCAAAACTCAACTCTGACCCCCACCCCACGCCCTACACCAACCTGATTCTTCTTCAGGGTTCTGTCTTTCAGTAAGCGGTTTCTCCATTGACCCTGTTGCTCAAGCCAAACGCTTCAAATCGCTCTTGACTCCCTGCTACCCCTCACACTCCACACTCAATCCCTCAATAAACCCAGTTGGTTCTAGCTTCAAAATATGCCCCAGATTCAACCATTTCATACTATAGGTATATCTGACCAAGCCAAACTCTCATTAGGATAATTGCAAGATTCTCCCAACTGGTCTCCCTGCTTCCATCTTTCCCTCCTATAGTCTGTTTTCCACACAACAGCAAGAGTAACCCTTTTAAAAAGGTCAGGCCCTGTCACTTCCCTGCTCAAAGCCATTACACTTAGGATAAACTTCAAACCCTTACCATGACCTGCAAGTTCCAGTGTGAAGCTGGCCCTGGACTCTCTGCCCTTTCTCTCCCTCATTTCTCTGCCCCAGACACACTGACCTCTTGGTGTTCTTCAAACACATCCATCTAGCTCTCTTGTAGAGGCCTTTGTCCTTGGTTTGCCCACTACCCAGAATGACCTCTTGGTGTTCTTCAAACACATCCATCTAGCTCTCTTGTAGAGGCCTTTGTCCTTGGTTTGCCCACTACCCAGAATGCTTTTCTCCAAAGTAGCTAAACCCTCATTTCCTTCATGTCTCCGCTCAGATGTTACCTATCAGAGAAGCCTTCCTTGTCACTTTCTAAAACAGCCGAGCTCTGCTTTTAATTCCTTCATAGCCCTTATCCCTACCCGAATTTATATCATTATACATCTTTTATACATGATTTGTTTATTTTCTATCTCCACTCACTAGATATTAAAATCTTAACGGGAAGGATGTTACTTTTTTCACTGCTGTATCCCTAAAGCCAAGGGCTACATCTGACTCCTAGTAGTAACCCAATAAGCACTTACTGAATAGATTATTTTAATAAATGAATGAATGAATGATCCCCTACTCATAGGGTTGCTGAGATGATTACATGAAGTAAAGTAATTAGAGAGGTTTCTAAGACGTGGTAAAGTGCCCCAAACTACCTGTTTCTTTTACCATTATTATTATAAATAGAATGGAGCTGGGCTGTGGCAGTGGTGTGTGGAAGTTATTCATTTTGTGACATCTGCTATTATCGGAATTTGCTTCTATTTCTGAATTTCCTATGTTCCCATCTGGCCTCTGCTCTTTTAGGGATAATTGGAGAAAGCGTGTTCCTCTGAGCTCACTGCTCAGACTTTGTTTAACTTGTAGGCATTTCTCTTAAGCTGTCCACTTGAATAAGAAATGTCACGTTGGCTTCCAAGGCAAATTTTCTAACTCTAAGGGCAGGCAGGCTCTGAAGGTCCCTGACACTCTCCAGCCACATCCTTCAGGGCAAGAGAAATGCTACAGCCTTCTTGGCATCATACTAAACTTCTGGGGAACACAGAACACCACATATAGCGGAAGGGTTTGAAGGGAGGCATGAAGTACATGCGCGCAGGAGGGAGACCAGACTGCATGGATGTCGGCATCACCCCACTGCCTTCCTGCATTGGAAGCAGACGCCCACACAGAGACGCCTGATGCTGCCCTTTGATAAACAAGGCATGCCTCTTTCTAATTTTTAAGAAATTTGAAATATATAAAATTGAGCAGTAGCTCCCCAAAAGCAGATTTGCTTTCCCACTCCGCACCCCTTCTCACCCTCACTGACCACAGAAGTAGCTCCATCCCCTGGGGGTGAGCTCTCTTTCATTCTCGGTCAATACACCAGCACGGGGCTCAGAGGAAGGCAAATTTCATTTTGAACCTTGGTCTTGACTTGCATAAACTGTGTGACGTTGGACAAGTTTATAACCTCTCTCAGCCAACGTTTGTCCAGGGGAGAAATAGCAAAGTCTTCCCTGAATGACTGGGAAGATGAAGAGGGATCCCCTGGTGAAGCTAAGGCCTCGCTCCACACTCCCAGCTCCCTCCTGCCCTGTTCTGCCCCCTCACCACCCTTCCATGTGCATCACGCAGAAGTCTCAGCTCTCTCACACGTTACCTTCTGCGACCTTCGCAAATGGGGTAGGTGTTCCCGTTCTATTTTTGAGACAAAGGTAGCCAATTTATTGAACCACGTTTTTCTGGGGGGGGGGGCAGAAAATGACTTCATTTTCCTATTGTTTTGAGAAACCTGACTCGCCCTGGTTTGCACAGCCCATGACAAAATCTTGGCAGATTTTCCTGGTCACTTTAACTTATTAAAATCTGTCTAAAATAAAGCTCCAGTCTCCCCTCCTGTTTAAGCACCCCCTCCTCCAGCCCCAGTTCAGCAGACAGCCGGAAAGACTTCAAGTGTAGAAGGTCTGTTCTGCTCCTTTGCTGCTTTCAGGTCCTCGCTTCAGACCGACTCAGACTCAGGGGGTGATTGTTTCATATCTCCCTCTCAACTTAGCTTTGCTGAAGACAGAGGGCCCTCTTCAAAATAAATGCTATGTTTCCAGAGGCTCATGTCTCCGTTCTCTTATATCAGTCAGGATACGCTAGATCATGGTACAATGACAAACAACTCCAAAGTAATTCCTTTCCCCGCCTCCTTCAATAGTTCTGGCTCCTCTGGGGGGTTTGGGTTGTAAGGCAGAGGGAAAGAGACAGAGAAGAATTTTGGCTGGCCCACTGTTTCTGACATTTCCACATAGGATGTTGCTTCTCTCACTAGCTGTTTCTGACTGGTGATGTCCCATTGCTGGTCCTAGGAGGGCTTCTCTAGAGAGCCTTGCAGGGCCTACCCGCCCCCTCTCGCCCCCGTGTGGCTTCCTAAAGTGGAAAGCTGGCTTCACACAGCCATCACCAGCTTCAGATGGGCAACAAAGCACAATAGCATCATATGCCAGGAACGTGGGGAGAACAGCATTGTGTTGTGTATGCATAATAGACACCCAACATAATGGTTTAAGAGACCAACCATCTCTAGCTGATGGTCTGTGGGTGACAATTTGAGTAGGACTCAGCTGGACAGTTCTGGTCTCATCCAAACTCCTTTATTCCCTGCAGGGAAGCAAAGCAGGTGGCTCTGTTTCAGGACTCTCACTTGAATGATGGGAGGTGACTGGACCATGTGTCTCTCGTCATCCTCGGGCTAAGTTGGGTTTGTTCATATGGAAGTTTGGCACGTTTCCAAGAGGGATGCCAGAAGTGTGCAAGATAGCTTGCAATCTGGGCTTGGAACTGGCTGAAAGTTGCTTCTGCCACTTTCTGTTGGTCAAATTCCCCAAACCAACAAAATTCGAGGAGTGAGGAAACGTGCTCCACCTTTGACGGGAGGCGCTGCAAAGTCACATGGTAAAGGGAAATGGCGAGAGGGAAGGGTAGAGAACTGTGGCGTTTTTGCAGTCGCCCCTAGCTCTAAAGACCGTCACATCTTCCATCTCCTTAGGGAGAAGTTGGGGCGGGGGCTAACCCAGAGGTGGCTAGGTTTGGCAAGGCCAGACCAACCCACCTTGTATGTCCTGTAGGGGTGTTTGACCCTACGTGAGACTAATGTACTTAGCACCTTTTCGTCTGCAGCTTTGGGCCATAGACATTCATTCCAGGCAACAGGCCAAGTCCCCACGGATATTCAATTACAAACAGAGCTACCAGGAAGGCAAAGGGACCTACTGCAGTCAGATAGCGATTCAGTGGTTCATTTCTTTTATCTCGGCAGAGGGAAAACTATATACTAAGGGCTGGTGATAAAAACACATAGTAAATACTGGAGCCTTTTAAAGGGCCACTGTGGCTGGGATGGACAGAACAAGGTGGACATTGGTGCAAGCTGTCTTCGAGATCCAGCATTTGCCCCTCCCTGGAACTCAAGACAATGAGCTTTTCTTTAAATTTAAGAACAAAAGAAACATCGTGGAGGATTTTAAACAACAGGCTCAACAGCTCACATCTGTGTTTTACAAAGATCCTTCTTGCTCCAATGTGAGAGCTGGACTGAAGGTACAGACTGGACTAAACCCAGACTTTGGAAAGTTAGCACTTTTCCAAACCCATTTTGGTGGCTCTTCATGAGTCCCCAGGCAAAGGAGAAACGGTCTAGTTCACCAAATGGCCAAAAACAAGTGGCAGGGCAGGGGAAGTCAAATGGATAATTGCACTGTATTCTCCTCAAACACGCACATGCACACACACACGCCTGCACACAGGTTACTTATCCATATGCCTCAGGCCCCAGCAGGCTTGGGAGTTTCCGATTTGTGTTCTGTGGCTGGTTTAGCCAGGTTGGTCCTGAGTCTGACAATAGCTTCTCCTGCTCTGCTGTGTATAGAGACACATGACTGTGAAGTGACTGTAGGAGAGAAAGGCCAGCAGAGGCCCCCGGCATTACAGACCCAGTCTTTGAGCCCTGGCATTTGCACACTTAACATTTCCAATGACTCAAACTCAAAAGGCAAATGGTGTCAAACACCCAGTGTTGTGGGATGTTTTGACAGCACATTGGTGGGACCTCAAGAAAACAGGGGAGGAGCAGGGGCAGAAGCAAGACAGCATGGAACTGCTTTCTATAGTCTGGCTTGGCAGGGGAGGGGTGGGGCAGCTGAATTCCCTCTAGACACTGACATCACCCCACCAAACCAGGGACACATAGGAGCCTCCTGGGGTCTGAGGGTGTCAGTGGGAACAGAGAAGTGCGTGGAGTGGACCTCACCCCCACAGCATCAGTCTGCACGATTGATTGTAAGACAGTCTGTTCTGTCATTGCATTGCAGCTCCAGAAACTAAAACGATCACTTTCTTTCAAGACCAAGAGTCTACGGAGCAAAAGTGCTGACAACTTCTTCCAGCGCACCAACAGCGATGTGAAGCTGCCAGCGGACATGCTTGCTGAGGTCAGCCCCAGCTCCAGCCCACTCCCTGCCCCTGGAAGCCTGACGTCCACACCCACCAGGGCTGGCCTGCACCCAGGCAGTGGCAAGGCCCATGCCTTTCAGGAACACATCTTCAAGAAGCCCACTTTCTGTGATGTCTGCAACCACATGATCGTGGGTAAGTCTTCCCCCACCCCTTCCTCCACATCCCAGCACCCCCTGGAAAGCCGGGGAGAGTAATGTACCATGGGTCCAGACTCTCTGCCTCAGAGACGTACATTCAGGAAGATTGTTCGGGAGTGTTTGGGGAACAATATTTGTGAAAAGGGAAGGGAAACAGGACTAGGCAGAGGGTTGTGCTATTGTTGTAACAAAGCCATTCTTCTGCCTGTGCACACCCAGGAAAGGGTATCTGGTCAGGGCATTAAAAGTGTCCACGACAACAATAGAAGAAAACCTTGGCTGATCGCAAGACTGGCTTCTGTTGGTTCCTTTCTATCGTGGCTCTGATGCCAATCATGTGACTGTTGTCTTCCAGCTGATGGCTTTGCAATGTCACATGGTGAGAGGCCTTTTCATTCGAAGTGGGCAAAGAGGTACCTTTCTGTTTGGTGCACAGGGTGGGAGAACAATATCCCATGTTTTGCTCCTGGATATTCCTATCTCATCATTAGCCCTTTCACTTCATAGACAAAATAAGATGAGGGAGTGAGGATGGTAGAAAGACCATGAGTGTGGAATTAGACGGCCTGGGTTTGAGCCTCATGCAGTTTGTGACCTAGTGCAAGCAACCTACCTTCTCTGAACCTGTGTCCTCATCTTGCATGGCGATGATAATACCACTCTCAGGTTTTCTATGGATTAATGAAATGGCAGAGGGAAAGTATCTGGCACCTAGTAGGCTCTCAGGAAAGAGAGCCCATTGGGGCTGGTATTATTATCATTATTATTAAAGGAGAAAAATAATCGTTACTCTCCTTGAGACAAAGAGAGATATTCAGAGGGTAAACCAAATTAGTTTACAGGAAAAAATAATTAAACTTTATAGGCATAAATATTAGTTGACAGAAACAAGTTAAACTGAATAGGCATAATTATTTGAAAAAATAATGTTGAAATAAGTAATTAGTCCCTCACCTACATAGCAATGTTTTGCATACCCCTTAATTATCTCTAATTCCGCATTTCAAATTTTATGGACAAGCAAGTGGGTATTTAGAAGAGAGTGATCAGAATGGTGAAGTGGTATGTCAAAATAAAATTGTGAGTAAACCCTGGGAGTTTGGTGTGGGAAAGACTTAGGATATGCAGCTGTTTTAAAAGACCATATTTGAAGAGTCAAAAGACTCATTCTGTGTGGCTTTAGAGGGAAGGGTTAGGAACAAGGGGTAAAGTTAAAAGGCAAATTTCGCTGAGAATCTAATCATTTAACTGATGCACTTGACCTGTAATTGAATGGCTTGCCTTATGAGCAGCGTGTGGTCTAACTTCTGTCAAGCATAGGTCATCTCAAAGGTGTCTTCTTACTTAATTACCTGGTATTCTTTGAAATGAGATTTGCAATGTTTGTTTCTTCCCACAGAGGCCAGTGTCTGTCATCATTGAACTTGGACAGAGCAGTGGTTTCTGATATAACCAGGAAGGCAGGGTTCTGCAGTTCCCTTCACCCTTGACCAAGACCCAGCTAAGAGGCAGGGTATTAAAAATGGGCAGCAGTGTCAGCCCCTCTTATGACCATACGCACAAGGCCTGTACTCATCTTCAGAAAACCATTATCTACTCACATTCTTGTTTTCTAGTCACAATTATTGATGTTCTTCCTTCAGAAAGGCCACATTTGGGAACAGTGCTGTGTTAGTCAAGGATTTCCACAGTGATGCTGTATCACAAATACTCTAAAACTCCAGCACTTAAAGAAGCTTTCTTTTACTCATACTCAGGCATCTTCAGGTCAGCTGGAGTTTGGCTGACCCTGACTCAGCTCAGTTACTTCGTCTTCTCTCTGTTCCTTATTTCTTACTCTTTCCTTGGACCAGTGGGCCAGCCACATCATGTTCTTCTCATGGCAAGGACAAGTGGAAGCATGCAAAGCTTCTTAAGGCCTTCGATTAGAGATGACACGGTCGCTTCTACTGGCATTCCATGTCAAGGGATGGAGAAGTGTACTCTGCCTCTAGTAGCAGGGACTGCAAAGCCACCTGGCAAATGGCACTGGTACAGGGAGGAGTGAAGAATGGAGTCGATAATTCAATCTACCACAGTGATGAGGGTGGCCTCTGGATTACTAACCTTTTTTGTTTGGTAGATTCTGCTAAGTCTTGGAGCTATAGCACCCTGCCACTTCACTTCTCCACCTGGAAGTAAAGCCTGGCATCTGTGAACATGGTGGGGAGGGGTTCACACCATGTCCCATGTTCAGAATACTTAGGCAATTTGGTCTCCAACTTAGTGTTTGTGTCTGCCTTGCTAGCTTCTGAGTCTGACGTATCACTTTCAATTGCCACACAAATTTCCAGCAGGCCTTGTCAAGGCAGTGCTAAGCATAACGCTTAAGTAGTTGACGATGAGTCTGTATTTTAAATCTCATTGTGACCAGTGTGGAAAGACAAACAGAACGTGTTTTTAAAGTGATTCATGAAATGAGCTCGCCTCTGAGGAATGTCACAACCGTTACCCTATAGAGGATTCTAGGTACACCTCAAGTACAACAACAGCTTTGAAAGACAATTTTGAAAAATCACACACACACACACACACACACACACACACACACACACACACACAGAGAAAACATGCCCTGTGCTAAAGAGAATTGCACTATACTTTTCTCTTATCACAATTAAATTTATATTGTAGCTGCCTTTTTATCTTAAAAAACAGAGGGAAAACAAGTCACCAAGGCATGCTGCTCTTTTCAAAGATGAAAACAAAGTAAACCAAATAGTGAACTCCTTCTAGGAAAGAATAAAGGGGATTAGAGAGGCAGTGTGAGGCAGGAGGGAAAGGGGTGAGAGAAAAGGCAGGAGGAAGGAGGTGAGGAGAGGAAGAGAAGTGAGGTGAAGTACAGGTTGATAAATGTTTTAACTTCCTGAAACAATGCCTAGGCCTTGTAATCTGTGATAATGGGGAACAGTTGATTTGCCCATTTTCACTTTCTTTACTCTTCTCCTATCTCTATATATACATATCACCTGAAAATTTCTTTCTTCCAGCCTCAGGTCACCATATTCTAAATTCTAGGGAAAGACCGCCTGCTATTATCCTCTTCTTAGAATGACATTTTAGAAAATATATTAAAGCAGTTTTTTTTTCCTTTCAGCTGAGAACCAAAGGTTATATAATGATGGCCAAGAAAAATCAAATCTCATTGGTGCACTTTCTAGTGGATGGATAATATTTAAAAACAAAAGGAAACTGGCATCCTCACTGTCTAGGATTTCTTAAGTGGAATAGACACTCAGAGTTGGATTTACAAGGCCTCGCATTGGGCCCTGCCTGGCTGCCTGTGCCTGAAAACTGGAAACACTACACATTTACCACAAGAAGGGGACCAATAAAAGTAGACCAGACCCCAGCCTCATTCCCTGCTTATCCATTTATAACTTCCCTAGCTGCTTCACTCTGTAACCCACTCCCTGTTGCCCTTGGACTTGACACATGAAACTGTTCCTGCCCTCTGGGGTTAAGCAGGCACTGTGGCATGCCTTCCTGCTCATGTAAGCTTGCCTCCAGGACATTGCTACCCTTTATGATCCCTTCCTTAGACTCTTCCTTTCCAGAAAACTTGGTCACTTATGAAAGCCAAAGGTGATCAACCCAAGCTTTCATGGAGACCGGTGAGAAATAAGCAGTCAAGTGTGCCCATCAATCCCAATGCTGGATGCCGCAGTCTTTGAGTCAACAGGACCGAAGACCCACCCCATTTTAGACTAGGAGAATCCTCCCGTACTTGGTTAAATAAACATAGTTCCTCCACCAAGCACATCCACTCTTGCCATCCTTAGGCCTTGGCAGTGGGAGTTAGGGGTCAGCGGCTCATCTTCATTACACATCAGCTAAATGTATTCCATCTATGGCAGTCTGTCATTACATTGAATTCACTGCCTATGATGACTCCTTTCAAAAGAGCTTTGGATTTCCTTGTGGTAATCTGCATCTCATTGAAATTTCAAAGACTTGACCAATTCAGCGTGCATTAGTAACATAACTAACTCAATGCATGAGTCTACTCCATCAATCAAGGAGGCTTTTCTAAAGGACTCCATTCTTCTATTTACTGCCAGGTACCTTGTTTCCAGAACTATTTTTAAATTAACAAAATCATTTTTAGTTGGCGTCCACTTAGAAGGCACAGCATATTAAATGGGCTCATATTTTCTATACAGATATTTAGCAAAAACGGTTGGATTTCATTCCCTAAAACTTCAAGTTTCCTTATACAGTCAATGCAGGCTCAAAGAACCCTTCACTTTTGAACTGTCCAAGTAGCAACCACTGGGGAAAATAATAATGGCTTTGTCTTAGCTAAAAATTCTTGAAACAGCGTGTGAGATAGAGATACATGTAAATGTGGTTTGCTGTGGGGAGTGCCCTCAGGGGAAGGGCAATCAAAGAAGCAGAGGGTGCAGGAGAAGGAGCTGAACAAGAATGTGGTCTCAGCTGGAATTGGCTTCAGGCTGGTCCCATTCATGGGGAGCTCTGGAGCACAGATATTATGTCACCTAGTGGTGCCACCTTGAGACAAAGAAGCTGGCCTCTGTATACTTCTGTCACTCAGTCATTGGCCATGGTTGCCCTTAGGAACAAGTGGGGTGTGATATCTCAAGCAAAGAGGACCCCATTTGGCTGAGGACAGTTCTCTGAAAAAAAGGGCACTTGTGAGCCATTAGCAGCCAGCACTTACAGCATCAGTATGACAAGATCTGGACAAGGCACCATCAGCATGCTGCGTCTGTACGCATACCCCAGTGCTACAAGACAGTATAAAAACACCCTCCACTAGGAGTGAGCTTAATATGCAGATGGACCTTTGGCATTGTTGGGCCTATAACATTGCATTACCATGATAATGAATAATATAACATGAGGAAATATTACATTACACTGAGTCCGGGACCTTTCTCCTCTAATCTTGTTTGACCATTAGTGTAATTGTTTCCTGACCTCATCCGATTGCTC